GGGGGGGGGGGGGGGAGAAAGGAAAAAGTAAACAGGCAGCAATTAAAGCCAGGCTGAGCAAATAGCACCTATGAAAAGTACAGCAGAGCCTGCGGTTCACGAACACAATCCATTCCAGGAAAGTGGTCGTGAACCAATTTGTACGCGAACCAAGGCAATTTTTCCCATAAGAAAGCATTGAAATTTTATTAATTCGTTCACAAGCCTACCTAATAATAATTTTTGTTAAATAATTTTCTGGTTTTTATAGTAAAAACTTTAAAGAAAAACACAATTTAGTGTGGCAACAGGCGGAGACATGGAGACTTGCTTGCCGGGGAAATCATGCTCTTTATTAACAGTCCTTAAAGCCCTTGTATTGTTGTTGTTGTTAATGTTAATGGTTGCATGTGTTTGCCCGTGTCTTGTGTGCACCCGGTCCGATCCTCGTGTGTCTTTAGCGTGTATTTAGGTTCGGTGCTCGTTGTTTCCTGTTGCGGTCCTTCTATTTACAATTTCATGCGCCCCGCCGGTGCTACACTAGTATGAAAAAAGGAATCTGGTTGAGGAATCTGTTCATCAACCAAATTTTGTATGCGAACCATCACAAAATTTTGGGTTGTGAACCAAATTGTTCGTAGCCCACAGCGTTCGTGAACCGCAGGCACCACTGTACCTTGTTTAGCAGCATTTGCCCAGAGCTAATATTTCACTTTGTCTCTTGTCATGAATAGAGCTGTGTGCCATCCCAGGGCAGCATTGTCTGAACGGTGAAGGCATGGCGAAGGCATAGTGAAGGCACGGTGAAGGCATGGCAAAGGCATAGTGAAGGCACGGTGAAGGCACGGCGAAGGCATAGTGAAGGCCCGGTGAAGGCACGGCAAAGGCATAGTGAAGGCACGGTGAAGGCATAGTGAAGGCACAGCAAAGGCATAGTGAAGGCACGGTGAAGGCATNGCAAAGGCATAGTGAAGGCACGGTGAAGGCATAGTGAAGGCACAGCAAAGGCATAGTGAAGGCACGGTGAAGGCATGGTGAAGCAACAGAGCAGTAATGAGGGCAGAATTTCATCTCTTTGCATTATTGAAATTGCTGATAATGTTTGGCGTTGTGCCTGACCCTGGGGTGGGTATTGACTGTGTTGACATCACACCGAGTGCACGTCTGTATCCGAACACTTCTGCAGAGGTTAGTGGCAAAGTCTGCTGGGAATCTGAAGTGAAAGGTTGAGAGAGTTTCTGTCAGGATGGTTCACGCGAGCTGTGAGGCGTCGGTCCCTGGGAAAAAGGGGAGGGATGTGTTTCTGAAATTAAAAATAAAATTTAGCTTTATTTGCCATTTGCGCAACTACAGGTACATTGGAGTGCGTCTTTCCACATCCCCCAACCCACTCTACTTCGAGACATAGACCCGGCTGAGGGTAACTATTCTGCCAGGGATGGGATCTGATTACAGGCCAAAGCCCCCCCCCCCCCCTTTATGAATGGGTTTTGTTTATAAAAGGCAGAGGTTACAATTTTTTTAGAGAAGATGAGATTTTTGTGCATCTCCGAATTCTGTTAAGGGCATGCTTGGGGGTGGGGGTGAGGCCGTCATCTTTTCTCCCAAAATGAAACCCATTCCTTTGTCGCCTGCAGTTTCCAGACATTAAGGACTTGTTTCACCTTGTGGGACGCGGCCAGAGATAGGGGTCATGGGTGATGAGCCTGCTGAGGGTCTAATTCAAAGGCGACGCTGGGGGAAAGTGGCTGCGAAATGGGGGCAGGGAGGAAGCGGGGGTGGGGGGCACAGGGGGCGCAGAGATGGAAGGGAGCAAGAGACGGAGGGCGCCGTGGGAAAAGCGTTCAGGTAGATTAAGCAAGAAAAGGCAGAGAGACTCGGGGAGTGAGGGTGAAGATATTCAGTCGGAGATGAAAATGAAGCTTCGATCTGCCGGGGTGCCGATCAATACGACGGCGACCATGACTGCATTTAAGAAAGATGGAAAGATTTGGGGATGGGACGGGGTGGGGGGGGGGTAAGATGGAGAGCTGACAGGATTCTGAAAATATGACGTCATGCGGGGGTGGGGGGGAAGGGCAAAGAGAAATAGAGACAATCTGTCTGCTACTGGAGGACAGTTTAGTGAAAGTCAGCAGACACAGCGAGAGAATGGCTGAGGGTTGTGACTCACATCCCAGAAACGCCATTAAGCGAGGGTTAGGAAGAAGAGGGTTGTCCCTGGCAACCCTTTCGTTTTACTCTCCTCTTCCAGCTCCATGCCTCATCCCTCTCTTTTCTGCTCTACCCTACCTGGTGCCCCGGAGGATGGTAGGTCGACCTGCCTGGTGATGGCTGGATGGACGGGGGGGGGGGGCAGAAAACGCCGACAGATGGCCCACCCACCACGGCCATGTTAATAAACTACAGCCACGCAAGGCGAGGCCCCGGCGCTCAGAGCAGGGCCATGACAACAGCTTCTGGCCCGGTTGCCGGGGCAACAGACAACACACGCATTAACCATCACCATCACCAGGGAAGGATGTCAAGTCTATGGTGCCCCAGCTCTACACCACCTTGGTGAAAACCGCTGGAATGTGCGTGTTGGCGTCAGGTAATGTGGTGCATAAGTACAGACCGTTGCTGTTTTCCACTTCGTTAGGAAAATTAACTAGTACCCCCCCCCCCAGATGATGGCTCTCCCCCACCCAAGTCTCCACCTGAAGAGTCAAGAGCAGGACCAGTGACAGCGCCGCTGCATCCAGTCCAGGTGAGAGAAGCTCCCCTAATCACTGTTTCCCAGCCCAGTCCTTGGGGACCCCAGACAATCCACGTTTTGCTCCCTCCCAGCTCTCAGCCAATCAAAACCACCGAATACCTGAAACATGTGTGTTGAGTGTTGGGAGAGAACAAAAATGTGTCTGGAGACTCCCCGAGGACTGGGTCGGGAAACACTGACCTACAGGACTGTCGCTGGCCTCCATCCCTTGTGACATGCATCTGACAAGCACTGATCTCTCTCCTGGGCGACTTCTGGAGCTTCCCTCCTCCTTAGGACCCT